AATATTTAAACTAATTATTTCGAGTAACTGACAGTCAATTGGTGTAGATTTGCTTAATTAACAATCTTTTGAGCTTAAAATTATTGCCTTTTCGTGAAAACGCATAAATTTTTAATACTTAATAAATAATATTAAACTTATAATAAACGCCTTCAACAACACGTACTCTAATTCAAGAGCTGTTTAATCTATTTATTACATTAATTATTGATTTAATACAATTGTTATCCATTTAAAAATGTACACATTATAGACAACATTAAACAATTTGTACCACATGTTTGTTTTACGATAATTACTTTTGAATATTAACCAAATTTCATAGAAATTATTTATTAAAATATTTTGTAAACAAGAATCCTATTCTCAATGACAATATATTCCTGAAAATGCCTGAACACTATTTAACCAACATTTTTAAATACAATTAAATGTAAATTTTAATTTGTTAAAAAGTATATATCATATAATACTTGTTAATTAAATATCAGATATACCTTTATATTTACACATTAGATAACAAAGTATTGTATTTGACATTAAAAGTAATGTCTTATACTATTGTTTAATTTATTATATTAAATACGATTACATATTGAGTTTATAGAGATTGAGAATTAAATCTTATGTTTGCCTCAAATTGTTATTTTGAATGTATTTTAAAGTTTAAAATTTAAATCAATCATACGATCAATGAATTCAGTATTAAATGTTGTAAAATCTTCACCAAATATAACCAAACAATTAAATGTTATGATCAATTTAGACACACATAACATAATATTGAATTCAATTCAAATAATGTCTTGTCATGATATAAATGACTCAAATTAAACAGAAATCAATGGAAAACATTGTGATTAATACTATTTCAAAAACTAAACAAAAACGATATAAAATTACTATATATTTGTCCGAAAAATGAAGTAATAAATAGTGAATTAATGTGTGCCTCAATTAATGCATTCATTTGACTCAATTCATGTCTTTTGCAAAAACAATGCTTGAAATAAATGTCGATTTTTATTTATAGCTAATATATATTTAAAGCATTCATTTATTTATAGATTAATTCGTTTTATTTCTTTAAAACCAATTCTCATAACAAACAATGGATTTTACAGTTTGTAAGTAAGTGTTTGTAATCCACTAAATGTAAGAATCTTTAGACATTAAAACCTAATTAATTCACTTTTATATAATTTATAACAATTTATTTACACTTAAAAAACATTATTGATATTAAAACTAAACTAAATTAAAGGCAATTATTGGCATAAAACACATATATTTCACTCCAATGTAATAAAATAATTGCTAATAATTCAAGACATATGACATATTCAAGAGATCTGCTCTCTTTCCTCCTCCTCCTCGCGCTCTTCATTCTCTTCGTCTTCATAATCACAAGACTTGATTGACTTGAGGTATAAGTTGTCGATACCATCGATAGCCTCGCTCTCCACGTCTTCGTCGCTTAAGTCATAGTCGGACGACATATAACTCCGCTCTAAACCGCGCTTCAGAGCCGTCTGACTGTCGCGTCGGTTATCTCTATAGCTGTAGTAATCGATCACATCGTCCGACACTTCCGAGTCGTCCGGATAGTCATTATAGGCGTACTTCTCGTCGTTTTCGTCTTCGTCTGACTCTTCGTATTCGCGCCAATGGTTTGGATTCTCGTCGTCGAGAGAGTCCTCTTCGTAGACATAGATATCATACAAATATTCTAACGCGTCCTCCAATTGGTTGTCCAGCGGTTCCAACGGCTGACCATTACATGCGATGACTGCCAAAGATATAACAGACAAAGAAATGGTGATAACAATCATCACATGTCTATACACTCACTGTCTTTGTGTTTGTCGTGTGGGAACACGTCTTCGAAGTCGTATATCTTGACGGCGTTGTTGTCTTTGTCGGTGTCGGACACCAGACTCGGCGGAACCGTTTGCGATGTCTTCAAGAGGTGGTAAATGTCGTGATCGGCGGCCGAACGCGAAGTCACCACAAATTTGCATCGTTTGGCTGACAGTGTCTTCTCCTCGTCGGCCCTCCTCTTCACGCGAATCAATGTCCTCTTCTTCGGCGACACAGCCATCGGTGAAGACATGCTTTCCATTCAATTGAATCCGATCTGAAAAGTGACCACAAATTGAGACAACGGTTCAAAACATTGCAAACAATTCATTCAAATATTGATATTTATTTCCATTCAATGTTAAACTCATTGTCCGTTTCAAACATCTCTTCCCATAAATTACGTCAAGTATTACTACTTTTGTTGCTTTCAATCAAATATTGAAAGTTTTTATGGCTTTTATACAGAAATTGTCTGCATTTTTGCATTTTTGTTAAAGGATTTACAAATCAGTTTGAATTTAATGTATTGTAATTTAAATAATTTAATTATACCTTCATTTTGACGACTCATTATCTGAAATACACTTTGAATGTAAATGTCATTTAATTATACCATTAAAACCTTGTCGTCAGATATTTATAACTTATGAGAAGATATATTCATTTGTATTTAGTAATCAAGAAAATTACTTAAAATTATAATTAATTTAATTATGATTTGAATATAAAACGCGAAATAAGAAAATTATGGATGAATTTTGTTAAGAAAATATGTGAATATACTGTATATATAGGAAGAAAATATCACACATTATTAGTTTGAAATGTTTTTTGTATACTTGAGATCCAATTTCACAAATAAATCGATTCACATATTGATTGTTATATTATATCTTTAACTTTGAATCTAAAATGGGATATAAATAATATATGACAAGAATATTCTTAACGTTACGGCTATTCTGTATTATAGAGCATATATTTGAGTGCAACGAAAACATAGGGTTTATATGATATGTCTATATAAGTAATGTTAACGATTCACTCATTTCTTACAATAGTGTTAGACATTATCGAGGATTATATAGAAATTCCTTAACCATTGAATTGAATGTTGAGTCAAAAGAGATTATAGGGTATAATAAGTTGGCTTTTGAATCGAAAGACAATGAAATAACAGTTAACCCAATTCTGTGATAGAGATCTTGAAATTGAATTATCTTTCATACACTTTATATACATGTATAATAATATTATGTAAAATCAGTTTAAATGAATCATTACTTCAATATTGTCTGTATATTTTTGAAGCTAATTATTCGTTTGAATCATTAAAATGTCAATTCCTTTGGTATTGTTTTCTTATATAATACGAAAATATTTGGTTGAAATATCTCATCGTTATTGTGAATAACACTTTAAGGGAATGTAAACATCAAGTATTTGTTAGCATATTCTTTACAACAAAATAATACTTTGTTTAATGCATTGAATACTAATTTTTGGTTATATAATAAGTATAATGGAGACAAATATGCGCTTATATTTTATTGTTAACATAAATATGCTTTGCATTTATGATCAGAATTTAATTACATTCAGTTTTTCGTAAATTACTGTCAGATAATATAAACTAAAATAAATATTATTTTCGACTAAATAATGATTTTGTTGGCAAATATTTATTACAATTGTTTGATTGTTATACAAATGAAAGTTTTTATTATCATTATTATTATTATTAAATGGTTGAATACATCGATTGGATTGAATCCGAAACAATTTGAGAGCAAAAATGTAATAATTGTTGTGTTGTTCCCAATGATGAGGAAAATATAGTAAAATTCGTGGTAATGTAAAGAAAGTTGTTTTAATGATTTGTCAGTTAATTTCAAGGCTTTCCACTTTATTTATGTGATCTTAAGATTAAGAAAATGAGTCAAAAAAGTGCTTTAATTTCTACAATTAATTGTCGAAGCGTTTGAAATGATTATCAAACCATTAAATGCGATAATCATTCAAATAGTGAATTATTCACTCAACTTTGATTTCAGTGTTTTTAATTTATACCATATATTTGTTTATATTTTCTGATTTAACTACTTTTACGGTAAAGCAATTGCAGTTAAACCTATTAAACAATGTTTTGATTATCGACTTTATTATAGAAAGTTAAACAGCAATAAGGATCTCATTATTACACTATTATTATACCATTAGTACAGAAGACCGCTTATCAGGTGTACATAATCTGTCATTAAGTGTATATTTAAAAATAGAAACTTGTTTTTCATGCGTTCGTAGAGTTTGTTCAAACATTTTTAGCCCAAAGATGTTTATAAATTGATTGAAGACTACAATTAAAATCAATTACATTATAAATACATAACTCTTTTAAAAATAATACTAAATATGTTTTATGTTTTGGTGTTTCTTACGGATAGTATTGCGTCAATACTGACGCCAAAGGGTCTCAATTATTATCCAAGAAAAAGGGTTTTCCCTCTAAAAGGGATTGAAAATAATTCATCAGAATATCTCATTAAATGCAACAATGATATAAAGAATTGTCATTATTTTGACACTAATTTTAATTAATAATTGAATTAACAATAAACAAGTGATTTTGTCAGATGACAGACTTTAATGCTTCAAATTATATGGAATTTATTTTTATATTATTTAATTTGATTTAATAGTATTGCTATTATTTTATTGTACATATCATCCCAATGTAACTGATGTTTATTATTTATACAATCAAAATAATATCATCAAAACAACATCAACTGTAAACATTGCTGAGTTGTCATAACATGGATATTCCGGTTTAGTTAAGAA